GACCACGGGGCCGACCGTGGCGCTAGGCGTTGGGAGGCTTGCCGGGACGCCACTGGGCGCGTCTAAGAGGTCATGGGTCGATGATGGAAAGCAGCCCATGACAGTAAGTTGATAGGCGACCTCACAATTTGTATCTTACTTATCATAAGGGACGAATTTAATGTTTTGACTATCAAATTCAACTTAGGATAGTCAATTGAGGGAGTAGCATTTATTTAAGGGAAAAGGGCCAAATCCCCTCTACTTTCATATATTGTCTATATTTAACCTCCGTTATACTATCGGGCCAAATTTATCTCTACCGTTATACTATCGGGCCAAATTTACCCCTACAATCAGCAAACTTTTAAAAATACCTCTTGATCTTTTAAGTAATCCAAAATCTCCCAAATTCCTTTTATTTAAATTACTTGTTGTTCTTCTTGATCCACTATTTTTTAAATAATTGGCATTTACCTGCTTTCTGTATTAGAGAAAAAAATATTAAATAATACAACCGAATAAACAAAGTATAGTAAATTGAAAAATCTAAATTAGTTAGTTTTTATAAATTCTAAAAGTATTTACAACATCCCAATTTTAATGAATTCGTTGCACCAAATGTATGGAGAGTTTGCTAGTATTAGTGATTGAAGTTGAAATTCCTCGGAGACTTTCATTGTCTAATTCAACTTTGCTTTAATTAAATGCCTACATCTTGTGTACTCTTAAGTTAGTCGATCGAACTATATACTAACCATGCAATGACAAAATATATTTGAATATACATGTACATACATGATAATCAGCTGCATATAATACACAATAAATAGACCCACTAAATTCTACAGTATGTATATGATTGAAAAATAAATAAAATTCTAAACCAATTTTATTTATTACAAGAAGAGAAATGGGTGCATTGGTAATTAAAAATAATTATGAATAATTTGTATAGTCCAATAACTTTAGCATTCACATCAATAGTAATTTTTGAAAATAATGGAGCAAGAAGAACAACAAGTGATTTAAATAAAAAGAATTTGGGAGATTTTGGATTACTTAACAGATCAAGGGATATTTTTAAAAATTTGCTGATTGTAGGGGTAAATTTGGCCCGATAGTATAACGGTAGAGATAAATTTGGCACATGGTATAACGGAGGTTAAATATAGACAATATATGAAAGTAGATGGGTATATTTGGCCCTTTTCCCTTTATTTAATGATAGGATGGAAAGGTCAGGTGCCTTGCTCTCAATCTTAGGGTTGTGATGATAATGTGAGACGAATACTAGCTTCTTATGCGGCATGAGTATGTGGTTGTCCGACTTGACACTCTGAAAAAACTCTATTTGTGGCATTGGCATTGAGTTGTCCTTCGTTTTAATGCCTAAAGAACCTCTAATGGGAGCATTGGCGCGATGATGCAGCTAACGACACGTGTCTTTGGGCGTTAGAGGCCCCTACTACGAGTCGGCAAGTGAATAGCAAGCGCTGGCAATGCTTCTAGCCTGGTCCAGCTACGAGCTATTTAACTTCACAACTTCAATATACATTGTTGGAGCTAGAATCACCACGGTTGTTGGCAGCAAACTTGCCCTGCAAGTCATTTAACTTCACAAAGTCGAACTAGAGTCGAGCTCAACAAGGTTTTTTCCCTACTTTCTGCTAAGCTCGTTCCCTTGATTGTGGTTTTGCTTGATAGAAGTAAGTAGGTACAGCGAAAGTCTAGTACCTAACAATTCAAAATTATCATGTATGTGCTCAAGCAACTAAACTAAGGGAAGTGAAGGACCTATAATATAGTTTTGCATTCTTTGAATTAACCAAGTCTAGGAAAAAAGCATTGTTTATAGTTGGTTTTACTGGTGTCCCCCTCCTAATTGAGATAATGGGATAAAGAACACTTCACACTGCAGGCTTTCCCTTTTCGTCACATTTGTTTACATGTTCTAAAACTCATTAGCCTTTTTTAAAAATTATTCCTCAAACTAATTACAAGAAATATACTGATTGAGGCACTTGCTCTAATTAAGCTATCACATTTCAAGAAGCCTCATCTGATTCTTCAGATTATACCTACACCTTTTCTTAGTATTTTACAGTTAACCATATTCTTTTTGATACTAGAAAGTAGAAACTATTTAAAATTTTCTAAATCTATATTATGTCACCTATGATTTGTCAATTTTTTCTGAAGTCGTGTCCGGAAACTTTCAGATTTTTTCACTTTTGATCCATTAAGGCTTGTCGACTTAAGTCTGCCTTTAAAGTTATTCATCTGTCTTCTCTCCACTATTGTCTTCTTCTCAATATTTGTCCCACATTTGTTTCAATTAATATAGACAAAAATAAGGGCATCGGAAAATCATCTCTCTTTCTCCTCCTTTCATACTGTACTCTCTAGTTTGTACCGTCTACTCTGTAAGCAAAAACTATGTACAAAAAATAACATTTGTGATGGAGAATTGTCACAATTCCATTTCAAATTGGAGTATTAGCAACAACAAAAAAATAAAAAAATAAAAAAAAGTGACGGAAGAATAAAACTGACACAAATTGATTCCGTCACAATTGTGTTCTGGTACTGCATGATGTTTGCATCAAATAGAAGTATGTATATTCAGATCAATTAAACTTGATGCCTACACTAAGTGCATATTTGATTTTAGTTTTGTTTGACAAAATGAAAAGAATTAAGGGTCACCGATAAGTAGACAAATAATCGATAAGTAGAGAACCAAATAATATTTCCTCCTAATGGTCCTATTCCAAGTTCCATTTTTTTCTCAGAAATCACCTACAATCTCTACTCCAATGTCACTAAAACCACAAAACATAAAGAAGTAATTTTGCAGCAAAGGTAAGTTCTCTACATGAGTTTTTTGACAATGGTGGTGTCGATGTCAGCTAGTGCGCACCTCAGCTATACTGCTATCTTCTACCAGCACAGATACTGAATTACTTTCATCATAACTGAACAACTCAGGCTGAATCTTGTGTCTACAAACAGGACAAAATGGCTGCTTGGACAGCCAAAGATCAAGACATTCTAGGTGGAATCCATGGTTGCAACCAGGAACCAACCTTGCAAGTTCCTCATTTTCAATCACATCCAAGCAAATTGCACAATCATTGCCAGAACTCAAATCTTTTCCAGTGAACTTAGGGAGTTTTTCAAGCTGCACATCAGAGAGTCCGTCTTTCTGGGCGGATTTAACAGGCCGAGAAGGGTGGTCCCTACTAGTTGTTCTTGAAACTACGTAGAGGTAGAAGAAGAAGAGGAAAGCCATGAAGACGAAAGGTAAACAAAACAGTAGGTACAAAGAGACAGCCATTTTTTTTTAAAGGAAAATGCTGGAGTGAAGTTCAAGAAGTTGTTTAAATTTGTAAAAGGGGCTCTCAGAATTTAGAGTGTTGTTTGATCAGAAATGGGTTGTTGATGAAATGGCTTAAATGTGTCCTTTTCTTGCAGGAGGGAGTATAACGGCTACAGCATTGGGAAATTGGAAGACAAAGAAAGGATAGAAAAAAGACAAAAATTGATATTGCTAGTATTAATAGTGTTTGAAACCATTTATTCTTTACGAGGTTTGTCTAGGGAGGATGAAATTGAATGAATTGCACCAGTAAGGAATAAGTACCTTAGATGAATCAGCATCACACCATTTCATTGGGGAAATCATCTCCTACATAACATGTACCCAAAGTCACAATTTAAAAAGTTACTCCCTTCGTCCCATTTTTTAATTGTCGTTTTAGATCTTTTTATGTCCATTAAGAAAACAATAAACATAGTATAATTTACTAAGTTATCCTTATTAAATGCTTTTTGAGTTTTGAATAGTATTAAAAAGAACTACAACTTTAATATTAAGGGCATAGTTAGAAACAATTAACAAATTTAATCTTGAATTTCTAAAGTGACAATTATTTTGGGACAAATTTATTGAGCTAAAGCGACAGTCAAAGTGAGACGGAGGAAGTATTTATTACTTAGTAATAATGAGACATCACAATGAAAGTTTGGGAAGAAATAACTAAGTGCAAACAGAGGCGGACATAGGATTTGAAGGTCATGGGTGTAATTTTGGATTCAACCAAGATCTGCTTTGTATATAGGGTGTCCACTACTAATATATTGCTATTCTCTAAAGACATGTACATGTATACATGAAATTTTTGTCGAACTTTACGGGTGCCAGTGACCCCTCTATGTATAATATAGGTCCGCCTCTGGGTGCAAACAAGTGAACCTGAAAGCTTTGACATGACAGATTGATTCTTTTTCGAGCAAATGCACAGCCATTGTTTTTTTGCAGATCATAGTAAATCTTACGATTTGAAGAGCCAAAATAATGAGGATCAACTTCAAAATGCTTAGAATTGGATGAAGCTAACTAAACCAATGTGTCCGTAGCAGAATGTTCTCTTCTTTGGCTTTTTCCACACGGAATTGATGAGCTATATAAAGACAACTTCTTTTTACGCCATGCTTTGTTATCTTTTCGGCAACTAATACTACGTCATCCTAACTCTTTCCTCCACCTTAGTCTGCTTAATAACTGGATTTTTGCCCTCCAGGAATGCTAAACAGAAACTAAAGCATTATTTCAACAGTGCTGGTAACTGAAGTTTAATATGTCGAAAAGCTGGTTTGAATCAATACCAATATTTGAACTCAAACTGTCTACAGATATCATCCAACATTATTGTGTCCTCCCTTTTACCTAGGAAGTCCAGCTATATATCAAAAAAAACAAATAGAGGAAGTCCTTTGACTTGTTTGTGCTATCTCGCTTTCCACTTAAACCAACTCTGAGAGAATATCAAGGTTTAGCTTGCAAAGCCAAACTCGTGTAATCGACTAGACTTGATTGATTTGGGAAGCTCAATTCCCTCATCTGGAATTATCTTCCCCCCTTCTTGATTAATAAGTTTAACCTCGTGAATGATCTTGCCTAATGCACAGTTCCAAAAGGGGCTGAGTTGAATTTGAAGTGAATTCAGAATCCACTCCATCTTCTAGGCCAAATATACAGCACACAAGAAATATCCCTAAGCTCCGAACACTCTCCTCAGTATCATATATTAGAATATGTCTTCATTTTTTTTGTTTCATCAAGAAATTATGCTATCATTCAAAGCGTTTCTTGCAATTCAGCAACCAATAAAGAGAGAGCTTCTCTGCCGCATATCCAACGTGCTTTGATACATTTCACGAGATGCTTTCACACGTGACAAGGAAATTTCTCTTGCGAAGCCCTTAAAAAGGAAGATACTAGATGCTATGGGATATACCTTAGGATACCTTATGTAGGACTTGAGAATTTGACTTCATACTATACTATACTAGAGCTTCCCTAGAACCGCAGCAGACACTATAGTTAGCTAGTAGAGCACCAGGTTGAGAGCTGGAAGGAAGAGGCTGTGGGAAACGGCACACTTGTGTAGCTTCTACACAATTCTATAGCTGCATATGCACGTTGTTTAACCAGCCAGCAAGCTACATCTCTATCATTCAAGATTGCCAGCTACAACTGGAGAAGGTTGAGAACACAGAAAAGCACTTTGGATTATAAGATATCATTCAAGGTGTTGCTATCCTCAGAAGACACAAGGCACCTTGTTTCAGAAGATAACAGATAAAGATATTACTATATCAGTAGACCAGACCATCCAAAAACAGCCTGTTTTCTACCACCAAAAAGTATCATTCAAGTAATCAGTATTCGTAAAACTCAGTCCTGGGGCTAACCAAGGGGTAAACAAACAAATGGAAACAATTCCACATCAACATTCCATGAAATGACACATGGAGAGTTCGAAAGATTAGCAAGGGAGGGGAGATCCACCGAAGCAATGAGCAAAAACTAGGACACTTCAAAAACAAATCCACAGCAACATTCTCGTCCATTTAGATGACAAATAAGTTCTGCAATAGCTGACTTACGATCTAAACTCCTACATCATGGAAAATGGTAAAAAGTACGCCAAAACACAGATAAATGCAAAACAAAACTTATGCAGATCCGAACTAAGCATGTTTCCATCAAAACCTCCCGCCAAGCTGAACCATCTTGCATGCTTACAGCTTGTCCTCAAACTCAGACAGAGGAGTCACTGCCTGCTTCAAACCCTTCCTCTTGCGGATATCAAGGACGAGTTGATGAGCTTGTGTACCAGCGTCCAATGGATCAGATGACATCATGTCCCAATGATCAAACACACATTGTGGGAAAGCTTGACCAGAAGTAGCTGCCCTCAAGGTACCTGAGAATCCAAACGACTCGATGACAGGAAGGTATGCCTTGATGTTGTAAAGAGGGGTCCCTGGCCTCTGCATCTCCTCGAACACATGTCCACGCTTCTGGTTCAGAACACCATAGATGCCACCAAGGGCTTGCTCTGGAGCCTGAATCTCCACAAGGTAAACCGGCTCCAACAGGCGGGGCTTGGCGGTAAGCTGAGAAGCATAGATAACCCTCCTAGCAGTGGGAATAACTTGGCCACCACCCCTGTGAATAGCATCAGCATGAAGAACAACATCACAGACTTCAAAGCAAATACCTCTCATGTTCTCTTCAGCCAATGCACCTTCCTTGGAAGCCCACTGGAAACCAGCAACAACAGAATCCTTAATTTCATTCAGGTACTGAACTCCCTTACACATATCCACCACCATGTTGGGACCAGTTGTCTCTGGACCAAAGCACCAAATTTTCTTTGCAAGATCCTTGTCCCAACCAAACTCCTCAGACAAGATCTTGGAACGAACTTTGGGATCATCCCTAGGGCCAATACGTCCATCGTCAATAGCCTCAGCAAGCCCTTCCTCCATGGGTCTAGCTTCCATGTACAAACGGTTATGCTTGTTAGGAGACTTGCTCATCACAGTCCGACAAGACTTCTCAAGTACAGTCTCACGGAAGGACACAACAGGATCAGACACTATAATCTCAGCACCGCCCATGAAATCATCCTGCAAGTCCTTCAAGCAGATCTCAAGGTGGAGTTCTCCAGCACCAGCAATGATATGCTCTCCAGACTCTTCAATAGAACAAAGAACCATAGGATCAGACTTAGCCAGACGCTTCAACCCTTCGACAAGCTTGGGAAGGTCAGATGCAAGCTTGCACTGAACCGCAACACGCACGACTGGTGAGACAGAAAACTTCATTGCTCTGATTGGATGGGCCTCGACTTCCTTCTCATTGGTCAATGTTGCATTCTTGGTAATAAATTGGTCCAGACCGACCATGGCAACAGTGTTACCACAAGGGACATCCTCAACTGTTTCTTGCTTCTTACCCATCCATATAACAGTTCTCTGCACATTCTTAACATACAAATCTTTCTTTTCACCAGGTACATAGTTAGGACCCATGATTCTGACCTTCATACCAGTACATACCTTACCAGCAAATNAGCAGCCGCCACCAGAGAGTCGGTAAGGGTAGATTTTCCTGTCAGATTAAAGATAATCAGGTAATTAGAGCCAGAGATGTTATGCTATTACCAATACCTCAAATCTGTTCTATGGACAAAAGGAAGAATGGAGAAGAACACTAATGAAATAACACTAAGCAGAACTGTACTACCCAAATATAATGTGATGCTAATGTCAAGATTCACTCCAGGTGATTACTGGGGATCACAATAACATTTCTCTTATTAGACATGAACAAAAAATTCCTCAAGAAAAACTATAATTAAGCAACATCATCAGAGTTATTTCAATTGCTTACCATGGTCCACATGTGCAATAACAGACATATTACGAATGTTATGCTTGAAGTCCATAATGTTTCTAAGCTCTTCAGCTGTGAACTTCACCATCTTGAATACTTGTTAACTGTAACAGCTACAAAATTATTTATGTTCCTGACATTTGAAACCACAACATAAATTAGACTAACCAAAAAGATCCATCAAAACATAGTTTATTACTCCACAAATAAGATCCATGTGGCTAAGCCACCAACTATAATGAAGGTTACAAAATTACGAACGTAAAAAATGTATTCTCATATGCAAACTAGCTATCAAAAGATCCAAACAGAAGAGGTAGAACTAACACATCTCATATGCATGAAGGTTACAAAATTATTACTAGGTAGAATACAAACAGACAAATTCAGATGGTAGTAGATTGAAAATTCAAGTTCAATTATAATTTATATGTATTCTCAGAAAAAAAAATGGTTACACTATAAAGAAACACCAATCCACTAAAAGACAGCTCCATGCATCAGTCATCAAAACAAAAAAAAAGCTAATCGGCGAGATACATACAGAACAAAAATAACACATCATATTTGCATGAAGCCTATAAAACCACACAGAGCAGAAACAGACGGCCTATTATTCACGTTTTTGCCCAAATACAACCACTAGTAATCCATCGTGCTTGCAAAATATGCAAACTAGCTAAACAGTCTTATAGCATATATCTCTCCATAACAGATATCATCGACAATCGAAAACTCAATTTTAACACAAACATAGACATATATATATATATATATATATACACAGAGACACATATATAAACAAGCGCGCACACACACGTGCACACACACACACACACACACACACACACACACACACACATATATATATATGAAATCATCAGAAATGAAAAAACTCTATCACAAGTTTATGCGAGAAAAAGAGAACTTCAATAGTATTAAATGAACTCAATACCAAAGAAAACATCAAACTTCCTAAAACGCAACAATGAATCCATAAGCTTCCAGCTTACGAACGTAAAAACAAAAGCATCACATGAAAAAAAAACATGAACAGAACTGCAAATAAACAGCAGATCTGAGCTAGATCTAGATATATCAACCTATCAAAAGCACTACAATAAGATTCATAAAGATAATTCAATACATATAGTGAATTTACCAGAGAAAAGTGAAATCGCAACACAAATCAAACAATAATCGTGAAAAAAAAAAGAGAATCGGAAAGAATTGTACAAATCTTAGTCAGACAGAGAAATAAAGTAGAGTCTTACTGAATATAGAGAGAAGTAGGCGGCGACTATTGTGATTGTGAGACCTTACAATTCTGCCGCTATGATAAGCTGAGGTTTCGCATTGTGCGATGGTATATACCCTGTCTTTATGGGCCGCAGCTGACTTAGAGCCAGCATTTTGGGCCACGTTACAATCTGGAATGGGCCTTTAGTCGATCCATCAGAACTTTTTGATTGGCCCATGGTCCAAGCAAGAGAAGACTCGTACTAATCAAGAAGAATTAAAAGGAAATTTCTGAAACCACTATTGTTTAGTGGCTATTAACTTCTTATAGTTACCATATACATAATTACTATTCAATTATTACGGTAGTGTATTCGATGTATTCGCGTTGTTGTATTCATGAATACAACAGCAAAAGGCGCCTAAAATCTAGGGGTGGGTGTCGGTCGGTTCGGTCGGTTATTATGAAAGTACGGTTTGGTTTTTTGGTTTTCGATTTTGTAATATTAATAACCAAATCAAATCAAAGTATTTACGGTTCGGTGCGATTTTTTCAAAGTTAGGTTCGGTTATTTCCGGTTTATTTTTTCGGTTTTAAACGGTTGAAGGAAATTTTATGCTTCTCTGGCAAAAGGAAATAGATTGTCATAATGAATGAATAGAAAAGAAGATATTGGTCCAACAACCATTGCACATAACAGAGACGATATTCTCAGTTCTCATGCAATAAACAAGGTTGGAATTTATTTGTTTTTCGTCCAGCCCAGCAAATTGTCATTTTGAGATAGAGTTCTCACAATATCACTCTAATTGTCATTTTGAGGATATATATTCTCAGTTCTTATGCAATAAACAAGCCTGAAAATGCTGCAAAGTCATCAAAAGAAACTAGTGTAACATTCTGGTGATCACTAAAGAGGAGGATATTTGAAACTACACTATAAATGAAACCAAGAATAGAGAACAAGCACATACAGAACAGGGAGGCCTTTAGTGCAAATAGAACACAGCAGCTATCTAAGTAGCAAAATATTGCACAGTTCAGCAGTGGCAAATTAGTCCAAAACAGTTTAACACAATGGCAAATCTAGCAGCTACCAAAGTCCAAAATAAGTCTAGAAATACCATCACCAAACAACAAAACAGTGGCAAACTAGTCACAAGCCACAAGCCACAAAGTAAGTCTAGAAAATAATACTTAAAGTCTTAAATACGAATCACTAGATGAGGCATGAGACACTTCTTAATATGTTTCACTAAGCCATAAGTGCCATAATACTTTGGATGACAATTATAAACTCGATCACAATGAAGACACTTTGCTTTGCGGGCTTCTTCATTTACTTCAACTAGCTCAAAATGTTCCCAGATAGGCGATCTAGCTTTAGGACCACAAGGCATAGTTGAACCTACAAAAAAAAAAGATCACAAGTTAATAAAATATTTTTAATTATAAATAACAGAAGAATATCATAAAACAAGGAAATCTTTAAACTGGCCACATGTTCAAACTATGCATCAACAATGTTAGTATCTCTTTCAACAATGCAAGTTTCTCTTCCGCTCGTTACATAAACATTCTCATCTAAATCGGGAAAATGGAGTTAACGTGATATGATTAACAAAATTACTACAACGCCATAGACTAAGACATTTTCTTTCTTCATAAACTTAAACTTGACTTTGAGCTTTCATATACTGGAGTGTTCTCAATCACATTTTTTGGCAACAATAATTGTTCAAAATTATTCCAAGGAAAAAAAGAACTAAAACACAAAAAAAGAAGCCTTATCTTAATAAAAAAATCAACCAAAGAAATCTTGAATACCTTTTTCCAGCAAAAACTAAATCAGAAAGTTCGGCCAAAACGGCATTAACAGTGAGCAAAACTGCAAAACGACACTGGACCCAACTCAACTCAGAACTCAGGAGAAGTCGCACTAATCTGAGGAAGAAGGATGAGCGACGAGCTGAGGAAGAAGGCGTCACAGTCGAGCTGAGAAAGAAGGCAGCAATCGCACAGAGCTGAGGAAGAAGGCAGCAGTCGCAGAGCTGAGGAAAAACCCTAAATCTAATTTTTGATTTAGGTTTGGGAAATGGGAATTGGGAAGTAAGTGACTAAGTGTAACGTATCAAACTATCAATAAGTTTGGGTAAATTGGGCTTCAAAGTTCAAATGGGTATTGGACTATTGGGCTTCAGCCTAAAATAGGTAATAAGTTTTGGACTCTCAAAAGAACCCACATGTTCAAACCTATTTTTCTTAATTAATACCTAAAATTTCGGTTTTTCGATTTAACCGAAATACCAAAACTGTAAACCGCACCGAAAAAATAAAAATTAATAATTTAAAAACCGTGCACCGACCGAAAAATCATTTAAACTGAAACCGAAAAACCAAAATTCATGGTTGCCGGTTTTTTCGGTTCGGCCGGTATTATGCCCACCCCTACTAAAATCAGGGCAGTCCAGTTGTATGCGCATGTATTCGCGCCATGTATTCATGAATACAGTAACGACAATCACCTTAAAAATAGGTATGTCCAACTGTCTAATGACGGGAATAATATCAATTAGCGTGATACACTCCTAATATAACTCAACAAAATCAATTCTAGCATGCCTCATTATCAATCCAATTAAATAGAATGATTTTTCAGTTGTATATAATTGTTGCATTTAACTTTTTTATTTAGTGTGTTTCAATTTTTTTTTACTGTTGCATTCATTATATTCAATATTTGTATTTACTGTATTCGCTATTTTATATTCAGTGTATTCAAATGTATTTCTATTAATAATATTTTAGTTATTCCTAATACATATTATTATTGTGGTATTCGGTATATTTCATTGATTGTATTCACTGTATTTATATTTGTATTCAGTGTATTTTACCATATTTTACTGTATTTTAAAATTAAATGTATTCACTATTTATATTCTATTTTATTTTAATGTTTGTATTCAATGTATTTCAATATTTATATCATGTATTCATGCATACTGTATGTACAATATGCATGAATATAGGTGTATCCAGTTGTATTAAAAATTATCTTCAAAATACATAAATACAGGCAAAAAATGTATTTATATAAAAATACAATGTGTTTTAGTGAATTTGTACAGAATATAATGTATTTGTATCATTGTATGTGACTAAATAACACAGAAGAGAAGAAAGTTCGTCGGAGATGGCGTTTTCCGGCCAAGAAGAGAAGAAAGTTTGTCGGATTCGTACAACAAATTTATGATAAGAGTTCATCACATTGCTCATTTTCGTTCAAAAAATTCACTCTTTTCTGTTTCCTGGCTGCCTTCTACTCTATTCTAATATACCGTCGGCCATCTATACTAGAGCGTATATCTTGAGTGGCTCGAAGAGAGAGAGAGAGAGAGAGATTCTTCTTTCTCATCGCCCATCAATACTAGGGCTTGAGTTGCTCTAAGAGAGAGAGAAAGAAGAAAAAATACGAGAGAGAATCGAAGAGAGAGAGATTCTTCTTTCTCGTCAGTCATCAGTACTAGGGCTTGAGTTGCTCGAAGAGAGAGAGAGAGAGAGAGAGAGAGAGAGAGAGAGAGAGAGAGAGAAGAAAAAAATTGAGAGAGAATCTTGTGTTAATTGAAAGAAAGATGGAGGAAAAACATAAATAGCGTATTTCATGCCTCAATGGTAGTATATACCATAAATACCTATTTTGCTATAAAATATAAAAGGTAGCTGTTGAAAATAATATTTTAAAATAATTTTGGTTTATAATAAATAGGGTGTATACCTTTGCTATAGGAGGTAAAATTTCCAAGAATTAACCTAAATAGCCGTCCATCAAACCATTTAAATTAAAAAATAGTTGGTAGATATATAATATGATATAATTTATATGTATAATATGTGTATAATTCTGTACAATCAGTATATAATCTATGTATAGTGTCTAAAATGAATAATAAATTCATAAGGTTATTTGTGTAAATATCCAATTAATCTATCTATCTCAAAGGTACGAAAAGAGAGAGACTTGAACTCTCGGTAAACAAAAATCTATATAGCAGCTCCAATGCTTATCTGTACTATTATAAAAATATTGTAATTATCATACTTTAAGGATTAATGAGAATTTTCATTCATTTGCATATTCTTCTCTTTATAGCCAAATTATTCTTACTTGTATTGGAACAATTTTTTTTGATGTGTTTGATACTTGGTTATACTATAAAATAATATTTCTTATCTTCAATTTTTTGTTCTTTCCAATCTATTTTCTTTAGCTATTTACTAATCTTTGATTCTATCTCTATCATTATTTGTTAATTTCAACTTATGTATTTTGGATCATATCATAAATTGTGAAATTCAATACACGTGGAGTTTAAGATTTGTAGGAAAGAGTATTTCGAGTATTACAAAGAGTAATGGATAAATAGTAATAAGTTTGGTTAAATCAAAAGTGTTTATTGTTAGTTAGTTAGTTGTTATATAAATAAACGCAGTACTACATGGAATATGAGTAGCGTAGGTATTGTATATTTGTCATAAATTGGGGTACTTATATTATAGTTAGGGCACATCAATAATATAATATTTTTTCGTGTATTATTTCTCACATGGTATCAGAGCCGTGACACACATCCGGGAACCAGAACACAGTAGAAAGTCATCGTGCCTCAATTTTTCGGTGACTTTTCACGGCTGTCTTGCGTCATCTCTCTCTCCGTCAGTGTTGTGTAAAATCCAACACTATTAAAAGCTTTATATCATCTGGAGACCAAACCCCACTCAACCTCTCCGGCAGAAGCAGCCTCACGCGTCGTTAGAAGCTAGGGTTCCGGCGAGCGCGTGAGCCTACGCGTCGGTTAGTACACCCTTTTCTGGATATTTTTTAGAGAAGTTCCTTGAGGACAGATTAGTCGCCTACAAATTCCGACTCTACCCCTCAAGTTTCATCGCATTCCGACAACTTTTTTTATTTTCTGATGACTGTTTCTGTTTACAGCGGCTACATTGCATTTTTTCTGTTGCTTGTTTACTGTTTCTGTGACCTAACATAATTTTGGGACAAACTTTGCCACCACTTTTGTGTCTTCGTAATTATTTGATCCAATCATGTCTCCCGGACTT